TATGCATCTGTTGCCAAAGAGGGGCTGGCGATAAACTTCCTTCCAACGGTCGGGTTGGGTCCTATCTGGAAGCGGGAGTTTACGCCAGGTTTGCAACAGGGATGGCAAAAAATTATCCAACGACTGACCCCCTCCTTCTTCTGACCCGTCCCTTCCATCCGAGAGTTTACGTGGGATCGTCCAAAAACGGTCTTCTAACCAAGTGAGTGGATGGATTGCATGTGGAGCTGCTGGGGCTAATCGTGTCAGATGTTCTAAAGCCAAGACACACCATGGGCTCTGGGGGGTAAAAATGAGTTTCTTAATCCATTTGACTCGTAGCGCTTGTACTTGCGTAGCTGGGTCAAGAGTCCCTAAACCTCCCCCTGCCTTTGGTTGGATAATGGAGTCCCAGGCCACTCTGCTGATTATGTTGGCTTGCTTGCCATCCCCCCTCCACAGAAAAGCTGCAACCTTTTGCCATAGAGCCCTGAAAGCTACTTTGCTTAATGACCATAACGATGCAAAAACTACATTATTGAGAACTAAGGCCCGACTGAAGAGGAACGTGTGTTTGTTTTTCCAATTGTTTAGGTTGTGCTGCGCCGGGGTGCTGATTCATTCATCATTAATAGGTGGCCTCCCTTCTGCGGTCATGGATACCCCCAGGACCCTTATTCGTGTCTCTAATGGCATCCAGGCTATACGTGGGGCCTCTAGGGGACGTCCTCCTTGGTAGTGAATCCACCAACCCTGTGTTTTGGACCCCCAGTTGACAGACATGTCGGAAACCTTAGTACATTTCTTCATCAGGCATTGAATTTCCTCCATGTTATGGTGTGTGGCCTCTGTGATAATTGTGAGGTCATCCGCGAAGAGGGAACACACTGGGACTTCTTCCTCCGGAATGCGTGTAACTCGTATTTTGGTGATATTCTTGTTTGCCCGAAGGTTGGAGGCCAGTGCTTCCATAATGACAACGAACAGGAAGGGGGCAATAGGATCCCCTTGTCTAACCGATCGTTCCAGGCGTAGAGGGCCTAGAGGCGGTGCAAGACTTCCATTGACATGGACACATGTGGTGACGTTTTGGTGTAGGATTTGTATCCATCGTCTGAAGTTTGACCCAAAGCTCATCTTTTCGAGACACTTATCTAAAAACATCCAGTCCACATGGTCATAAGCCTTTTCGAAGTCGATGAATATGAGAGCGGCATTCTAACGAGAGTGCCTCGTGAGTTGAAGGATCTAATGTATCAGCAGGATATTCTCTTGTATGTTCCTGTTCTGCATGAAGCCGGTTTGATCATGATGAATAATGTCATCCATTACTGGAATCATTCGGTTTGTCAAGGCCTTTGACAACATTTTATACACAACTGTAAGGAGTGTTATGGGTCTATAATTCCTAATGTCAATTTTATCCTCTTTTTTATATAGGAGGGTTAATATTCCTTGCCCCACCCTTTCTCCCATCTCCCATGTGAGCCAAACTTCACTATAAAAGTCCATGATGTCTTGGCATATAAAGTCCCAAGTGGTTTCCCAAAATTCTTTAGGGAAGCTATCTATCCCGGGGGCCTTCTCCTCCTTCATTTGCAGAAGGGCGGACCATATCTCGTTCTTGGAGAGCGGGGCATCTAAGGATTCCCGTTGTTCGATTGTTAGAGTCTTATTAAGTGGTTTCAAGAATTCCTGGATTATATGGATATGGTGCGGAAAATCTGACTTATCTAGGTGCGAAGAGAAAAGATCCTTATAGAAATTGTAAGTTGTCTTCGTACAGCGGGCTGTGGACACGGCCGGGTCTGAGTCCCTGACATCAGGTTCGTATAGAGCCTCGATCGTGGTTCGTTGACAACGTGCTCTACCCAAGCAGATGAAGTGAGAGCTCATTACCTCTTCAGTGGAGAATCTGGATAACCTGACCCTTGTTTGAGCGCCTTGTCATCTATATTGTGCATGTTTGAAGAGTTGATCCTTTAATTCTTGTATGCGACATTGTAAGTCAGTGATCTTCTGCTCCTTCCCTTGCGAGAATAACGAATTCTGCTCTTGTTCTGCGCTTACCAAATTCTGCATGATCATGATTTCTTGGTGGTGTCTCTGGGCGGCCAGATGTTTGGAGTACTCGTTACACTTCCTAGCCATAAAGAATAGGCCATTGTTGAACCAGACAATCTGCGATTCTTGTTGGGGGCGGTGGTTTTTCCGGATTCTGAAGTCCCATACTTGTTGGAGATATTGTCTAAATGAATTGATTTTTTAGAAGGGAGGTATTTAGTTTGTAGTAACTGGCCCCTAGGTCCGACCGTTTACGAAATGTCCACACCGCCATACACATCCTGTGATCTATCCCAGGAAATGGGCTGGATGGGAGTATTGCCGTCACCGAGAGCCCTCTTCCTAACTCCTCCGACACCAGGATTAAATCAATTCGCGATTTGGACAATCTGGCAGTTTCTTTGTTTTGAATGCAGGTAAAAATTCTATCTTTGGGGTGGCTACGCCTGAATGTGTCGAAGAGGATAGGGGGGCGCACAAGTCTTTCAACATACGCTCATCCTTCTCTGCATTGTGAGCAGAAGTGTGGGGGGCTTTCCATCGGTCCAACCATTTGTCGGTTGCGGCATTGAAATCCCCTGCTAGTATTAGGGGGATGTCCGTAGTGGCGATTGTTGCAATTTTGTCAAAAAAAACGCGTCTTTCATGGGACGTGTTCGGGGCATATAGGGATACTATGCATACGACTTCTAGTTCTAGTGCGCCCAGTATTTTGACCCATCGTCCCTCCTCCTCGTTCTTCTCCCAGCAGAGGACTTCGGATTGTGACTCGGGCGGGATCCAGATGGCTACTCCCGAGCTCCCTGGACAGGGGGCAAATGGTTGGTAGCTTTGGAAGGGTCAGGCTTGCTTGTGTGCCCTGTGGTGTTCTGGAGTGTCCATAAGATGGGTTTCTTGTACGCATACTACGTCTGGTCATGATCTCAGGGGGTTAATTTCAAAAATATTGCTCTGTCGGTACCAGCCAGTCCAGTCAAGTCCAGGCCGGTACCTCATAAGATGGTAGCCCCTTGGCCTGTTCTCACAGGCCTGTGTTCTATTCGGGGGCAGTCCAGTCAAGTCCAGGCCGGTACCTCTGTCGGTACCAGCCTGTCCAGTCCAGTCCCGTCAGTCCGCTGGGGTATACCCCAGCCTGTGTCTTTTTTCGAGCTCATTCTTCACTTGCACATTTTGGAATACGTGCGTTGGAGTCTTGCGTGGGGAGCTGCGTTGTGCCATCTCGCTCCCCCCTTCTTCCTCCATCTCCATCTCTACCACTAGCGGAGCACCACACCTGGTGGGTCCGGTACAAGAGAGAGAGAGAGAGAGAGAGAGAGAG